CGTCACCCGACGTTATTCATCCACAAACTGGTCCCGGATTAAGCTCCAAAGTTTTTATCAGTCAGATTCCACCGTGAAAAATGTCTGTTTTATCCCCTTTTATGAGTTTTTGGCCATTGACGATCTTTAAATCGCTGCTTCCTGGTACAACAGTCGGCTCTGGAAGAGATCGCTTTTTTCTTTATTTTTTTTTCCCTTTCTTTTTTTGAAGCGAGTGGTTGAAGCAAATGGAGCATAAGAGCCCCCTGGTGGCTGAAGAAAAAAAATCCACGTATAAACCACACCTGTCTATAAGCCGCATGGTTCAAAGTTCAGGAAAAAGTCGGGGCTTATAGTCCAAAAAATACGGTACAAAGTGGGTTGTGATGCACCTCGGTAATCCAGGTAGAAAATAATAATGTAAGTCCTCTGGACGGGTTCTTCTTTAATGAAATGTTTCGTCTCTCCTCTAAGAGGCTTCTTCAGTCTGAGGAGTTTCAGGTAAACCCACCCACTGCCTCCATGTGGTGGACAAACAAGTTTAACGGTGACATTCAAAATAATTAGTGTTTTTCCCTCAGTATTTTAYCGTTAACATTGATATACATCTCTCCTACAACCTAGATCACAATTACAGGCAAAACGTCCAAATATGCAAAATAGACGATGATGTCATCAAGTGATTTCTAGTGGTAATATACAGTGTAAAGCACATAGAAAACTGCTAGCATAATGCTAATTTCTCCAGAGCAATCATTCAGGAAAAACTCATTTTCTTTGCTTACTGATCTGRTAATCATGAGATTAAAATGTAATTAATCTAGATTAATTAATTACAAGGTCTGTAATGAACTCCATTCATTTTTATATTGTGTCCCAGCCCCAGTTCTTTCAGTCTGACATTGTTGTCATCTTATCAACTATCTGCGACTTGACGCTCTGCTCCTTCTCTGTTTCATTTGTTAAATGGGAAGTGTTCCTAACAGAGCTCCTTCCTTACATGACCTGCATTCAGAAGAACTATTTCTCCACATATTAATCTGCATCTTTCAGTGCACAGTTGGAAAGCTGACCTCCCTGTATCGGTTTGTGCCTTTGTCGGTGCAGTTCCAATGACGGGTTTCACCCAGAGAGCCACCATTGACCCCGAGCTCAACGAGATTCACGTCCTCTCGGGCCTCAGCAAAGACAAGGACAAACGAGAGGAGAACGTGCGCAACTCCTTCTGGATCTACGACATAGCTCGCAATAACTGGTAGGAYGTGTAAACAGAGCTTGTTCTTCTGAGACACATCTGTGATCGTAACCACAGGAAACTGACRCACAGCAGCTCGTAGCCGAGGCCGTCACCACATCCCATAGTTCACATGCAAACACGAACATGCTCCTAATCATGTTGAAGAGAAGTCAGTGTTGCAGAAAACCACACTTAAATAACTGATTCTTCAGGTGAAATTAGTTGCTAAATGAACACAGAGTTACATATTTTCATGCCTAATATAGACTGCACAACACTAACTGTGTTAATCTAAAGCTGCTCTCCAACAGGAACGTAAGCTGTGTTTCCATTGCAAATGTGGGAAAAACTTTGTCGTTATTCTGTTTGTCGAAAAAACACAGTTTTGCAATTGCGGTGTTTCCATTAAATAAGAAATGCAATTAAAGTCACGTGTGAATACGTTTGTTCTTGCGATAAGTCATTACAAACATGGCAATAACGGATGTAAACACATACATGAGGATATATTCATATTGCTACCACGACACTAGCGCTCATCAGCCATCAGAGGCGACGTCGGCGTCTTATCGAGGCTTTCGAGTGACAAGCCCTTCATACTTTGTGCTGCTACGTTTGCAGTGTTTTTGGGAAATTGTAGTCGGTGATTTTACTACTTTGTTTTACTGCTTCTGTGATTTCTTTTTTTGAAATTTTATTTTTATTGGAAAAGTACTTGAACAGTGAGAAACATGTCTTTTGTACATAATTTCCATTTTCTCTTGAACAACATCAACAATAAAAAACAGAACAAACAAACAAAACAACAGAGAAAAATAAAAAATACAAATAAATAGATAAATAAGGGTGGCGTGCATGGTCCCGCAAAAATGGAGATCCAAGGGGTWAAGAGAATGGGGCGTCAAACACTAGCGAAGTCCAAATTGAGATCAATGAAAAACGAAACAAAGATGTTCAGTCCTGCTCACTGATAAAATTATACAGTCAGATCTGATGGGTTTCACATGTGCAGTCCATTTACTCCAGATTGAATAAAATTTATCTGTACTTTGAGTGAGGACAGTTTAACAGCCACTGCTCCACTGACCCTCCTTAAAGTGGCAGCACAGATTAATGATGATAAAATGCATTTTATAACTTTTAAAATCAGATTTTACTCCCCAACCTTTTGTTCTGTAATAATAATACATGTTTTTATCTGTAAAACTTTCATTTTCTAAAAGGCTTTTTTTTCGTAGAAATGACTTGCAGACAGATTTTTAGCACAAATTAAAATAAAACATTCTGTTCTAATAAATTAAAATAGTTTTTTTGCTGTTTTTATTTTGTGAATACTTGTAAAATGCTTCAGATTTCTGCATTCAGGTATTAAAGTATTTTGTTTTTAGGTTGATATTTTAGTGTTTTTGAAAGCGGAGCAGCCTGTTGTGAAGTTATCACTTTGTTTTTCTTAACGCCTTCCTTTGTGTTGTTTCTGCTCAGGTCGTGTGTGTACAAGAACGATCAGGCTGTGAAAGAAAACTCGAGTAAATCTCTGCAGGAGGAGGAGCCGTGTCCACGCTTCGCACACCAGCTGGTCTACGATGAGATGCACAAAGTAAGGAACAGAAACACTCTGAGCTCTCAGCTTTTCTTAGGCTCTGCTCCTGTTTAACACAGTCTGCCTCATAACGCTGACACATCAAAACAAGGCTCTTTGATTTCAATGTTCAGCTGTTCTCATGAATGAAGATCCAAACTTGTCTCTGTCCTGCTGGTTTCCAGGTGCATTACCTGTTCGGTGGAAACCCCGGGAAGTCCTGTTCTCCTAAGATGCGCCTGGATGACTTTTGGTCCCTGAAACTGTGTCGGCCCTCCAAGGAATACCTTCTCCGCCACTGCAGATACCTCATCAGAAAATACAGGTGTGCAGCTTTTTGAACCATTAAACAATAATTTCTGTGCATTAAAGTACAGGAAAGACCAGATYCCTTCACCCCGACCCCGCTGTATGATGTTTTCTCATTCCTGCCACCTGCTGTTCAGGAGGAGAACTGAAGCAGCATCATTGTGAGCAGCGGCAACACGTGGATCAACCAGTGGTGGGCACTAGTTGCGGACCTAAATTTCTCCTTTGCGCTTTAGTGGTTTTACTAATTTCTTCAAATGATGTGCAGATTTGCTCTTTGTAAATTTAGAATTGAGTAGCGCTAATCGCAAATAATTTTCTGATCTGCAGAACCACGCTCAGCTTTGCAGTTTGTACCTCCTCTCTGAGGGACACCACWGCAATAAATATTAAATAAATGATAATAATAAATAAACAAACACAGAACAGTATAAATTCACGCTCTTWTTTTGAAATAAACGGGTTCCTGTTCTTGTTCCTGTAGCCCACCCAGAATGCATTGCTTCAGTTTTACAATAAACAGTCTAAAATTAGTGATATATCTGAATGTTTTCTCACTGAAGCCCTGCCATAAACRTAAGAAAATGACCAAGAGCGARCATTTTTTTTAAACACYGTGACTCAAAAGTGTGTTTTGACAAGTCACCTCCCCATACTGCAACGAAATRTGTCTGAAAGGAAATGATCTTTTCACTAGTTGGCAGTAAAGTGCTGACATGTCTCATTTATACTGGATTGTTTTCTGGTGAACGGATACAAACTTGCACTTTATTTTTGGCTTCTGCTAAATTTTATTTATCATATTYGCTTTTGAATTTGCGGACCGAAATAATTTGATAGCGCTGCACAAACTGCGCAACTAAATTTTGAATTAGCGCTGCCCACCACTGGGGTCAACTAAATAGAAAGGACAAGTTCCCTTGAGTTTAATTATTAATAATAAAGAAAATACATGTGCTGCCTCAAACACTTTTCTTTATTTTAGCATTTTAACGTCCTTTTGATTTAATATATTGCTTTAAGACTTTGATGAACTGAAAAAAATCAGTTCCTCACACATCTGCACTGTTGTTTTTAAATCCCTCAGGTTTGAGGAGAAAGCTCAGTCAGAGCCACTGAATGCACTGAAGTACCTGCAGAATGACCTGTCACTAACTGTGGACCACACAGACCCTGATGAGACTAAAGAGGTACTGATTCTATTCTGATCAATAACACTAAATGTGTTGGAAGCACTGTTGACTCAAAGGTGACCGGAGAAAGAAAGGTCCAAGCTGAATGTTGAACTTTCCCTCCTTCAGCTGCTCGTTCACTTCTCATCCAGATGTTTGTCTTTCAGTTCCAGATGCTTCCATCAGCACTGTTTAAGTCCAGCTCTGACTTCATCCCTCTAGGTAAGTTTGGGTTAAAACCTGTTTCTACTTTAAAGAAATACTTGAGTGAGGTTTACTTTTTATCTTTGTACTTGTTTTAAAACAAGTCATAATGGAGGATTTGAGAATTTCACATTTTCGATTCATCGGTCCACAGAACATTTTGTCCACTTGGTCTTATTTGAGCTTTGCTTCAGAGTGGCCAGCAGGGTTCTGGTTGCTGTTCATATACACGTTCTTCTTTGCACGATAGAGCTTTAAGCAGCATTTTATGGGTGGTACAGTGAACTGTACAGACAGGGATGTGTAGAGGTGTTCCTGAGTCCATGCAGTGTTGTCCCGGGCAGAACCAAACCTGGTTTTAGTTAGGGGTGTAAGAAAATATCGATACACTGAAATATCGCGATATTTCA